TCTTTCCCTTGTCCTGTACCAGGCTGGAGTTGAGCTTCTTCAGGCCTGGGCCCTCAACACTGCCAGGTCCCAGGAAGGGCTGTGTTCTCTGTGACCGTCACCCAGGGGCCCAGGGAAGGAGGGCTTCTGAGAGCTGAGAGCAGGTTTTTGGTTGACTGGTTTGGGAGGAGAAAGGATCTTGAGAATATTTTCTTCCTGGTTTATTAGTTATCTCCTGCCAAGAGTGGTGATGGGGTGGGGAGTGGGCATCTGAGACTTTGGCATCTTCAGGCTGGGTTTGCTTTTTGCTGCCGGCAGAATGGAGGGCCTTGTGTACAAGCGGATCCCACAGGGCCAGCCTGCGCTTTTTCGTTTCCAGCCACGTTATTATTTGAACCAGTGCCAAGTAGGGCTTCTGTTGAACTGCTTTGGGCCAGAGGTCTTGGAAGGCCTTGCCTGAGGGGCTTTCAGGTGACGGGAGTTGGAGTTGGAGCCACCACCACTGGAGGCCCCCTTTGAATGTGGCTGCCACAAAAGCACGTCTCTCCCTGAGACCTGTGTGAGGAGACTCCTTGGAGGCTGCCTCCAGAAACTCCATGGTTTTCTGAAAAGTGGCTTCTCCCAGAGGCAGGGTGGACTTTCCTGGTCGCATCTGACCAAGGTCTTGCTGTGTGCTGGGGCTCCCCTCCCAGGGTCCTCCAGGCACTTCCTCAGCAGGTCAGGGGCTGATCAAGTGTTGGCCTAGTGACACCTGCAGCCTTTGCCCCTAAGTCTCAGGTCCCAGAGCTTTGGAGGACCTGAGGTGGGGGGTATGGGGGGGAGTTCGGGATCCTGGTGGATTTGGTCACCTGGAGCCTCTAGTCTGAGCCAGGGTGCAGTGGGCAGGGGCAGAGGCTGAGGCTGACACTGTCCTCTGCCCTCACCACCTTGGTGGCCCGGCCATGGCTGAAGGTGGGTGGTCCCCCAGGCTGTCCTGTGCAGCCCACCCCACCCCACCAGCGGAGAAAGCTGACTCCTGTCCCGTTCACATGCCCGGAAGTTTACAGGTTGTGGTGCATCAGCCCAAAGTCATTGGCGTTGTTGTGTTTTTGGATTTTTTCTTATTTTCAGATTTCTTTTTAAACAAAGTATTTTTTTAGGTGCAATAACCCAGAAAGGGCCCGTTGGGTGTATGTGCGTCCTGACTCCTCACACAGAGAGCCTGAGCCCCCCATGGCTCCTCTGCACTCATGCCTGGAGAGGAGGGAAGGGGCCGTGCACCTGTGGGGTCTGAGCTGGGGTGTGGAGGGAATGGACCTTGCCTCCCTCAGGCCTGGCATCGGCCCAACTGAGGCGTCTAGGTCCCCTGCTCTAGGCCTAGCCCCAGGCTGGCAAAGGGAGGGGGCCTGGGCTGGGCACAGGGTAGGGGGCAGTTTGGGTAAATCGGGAGGGTCCCAGTGGGGGTGGGGTCCGCGCTTTGGAAGCTGAGCTCCCGAGTGGTGATTCGTCTGGCCTCCGCAGCGGGAGGCTGGGCGGACAGAGACTATGGCCGACACAATCACCTTTGTACTGTGTGTATGTTTTGGTTTTCTGTGTTTTAATAAATCCTTTGGGAAAGGATCGAATCAAGAGTGTTTTCTGAAAACGTTTACAGATTTAGTATGGGAGTTGGGGCTGGAGGCAGGGGAAAGGTGGTGGGTAGGCAGGGGCATCTCAAAGTCCCCTCCCACTTGTAACGTTTCTGAGGTACAGGGACTCACTGAGAAGGAGAGCCCAAGAGGGGTGGTGCTTTTACCTGCACCCACACACACATACCACAGCAGACCCAGGGCATTCCCGGTCCCCACCTCTGTGGTGGTAACAGTAGCCAATTGGGTCCCCGAGGGTACTTGGAGTCCCAGCAGCAGGTCGGGTCACAGAGGTGGGGATACATGTGTGAGCTGGGGCAGGATGGAGCAGGGGGGTCCTAGGGTGAACACTGGGGAGAGATGGGAGGGCAGGTCTCTGACCCCCCCACCCCAGTCTCTGTACCGTCCCTGCCTCTTTATTCCTCCCAACCTGCCTCGGCTGCAGAGTCGGGTACTGGGGAGACCCTGGGTCAGGGGCCTGCATAGGCAACCCGTTCCTCCCCTCCTGTGCTGCCCTCGGCCCAGCCCTGACCCAGAGGAAAGGAGCAAAAAGTCCAGAGACAACGGACTCGGGTTTTATTTGTCATTCCATAAATACAGCGGCGGTGTCTCTGTCGGGGTCTTGTTTGAAAGCTCGAGGCAAACAGCAGTCTCTGCCTGGGTGGGGAAGCCATTAGCTGAGGAACCACAGTCGTTAAAAAACGGAGGAGAGGGAAGCACGTTATTTACATGAGTGGACGAGAACAGAGGATGGAGGAGCCCCCCCCATTCCCCGGGCCCTGGGACTGGACCGCAGGTTTGGGGTGAGAAATAGTGGGGGCTCCACATGTCATTCGTGAGGAAGACTGATCCCACCTTACCCCAAGACAGACCCACTTCCTATGCCTAGCACTCCTGGTGGTGAGCCCAGCTCAGAGAGAGGGTGAGAGGCCAGAGGCTGAGGAGGCCTGGGGTCCAGGGAAGAGCGCTGCCTCGGCCCTGAGCTTGCCTGGAGGGCTGCGCCCCACCAGGGACCAGACCTCCCTTCCTAGACTCTGCCCCTGCTCTCTGAACCTTCTCCCCAGCTCCCCCCTCGCCCACTGCAGTCCTCCCCTGTTGGGGACCACCCCCAGGAAGCAGGGCCCCTCCCTGCAGGTGGAGGTGGAATGAGGGCGCCTCAGACCAGGTTATTGAAAGTGCTGCCTGCGGGCTGCCTGGGCCTTGGCCATGCACCCTGCTCCCCCGGGGCTCTGCGTGGCAGGCACAGCCAGCAGGGGCTCAGCTTTCTGGGGTGTCGCCCAAGGGAAGCCACATGTCGGACCATTTCCAGCAGGGGGCAGCAGCCTGGTCAGGGCCAGCCTTCCCCCTGCCAGCCACCACAGGGCCTTGTCCTGGGAGCAGGCATCACTGAGCAAGGTAGGCCTGGGACTCCTGCTGGGAAGTACGCTGCCCCGACTTCCAGTAACGCCTGTAGTGGCCGTGGTAGAAAAGCCCCCAGGGGTCTGGTCTAAGTGGTGGGGCAAAGGTTCTGGACTCCAGGGAAGGCCTGAAGGTGAGTGGGTAATGGAAGAAGCTGAGCTGTTCCCCCCCCCCCTTGATTCCGTGGCTTTTTTACAGCCTGTCTCAGCCCAGCCAGGACTGGACAGCAGGTCCCTAAAGGACAGCAGGGAGAAGCCCTCTAAGGACAGCAGTCCTTTATAGGGCAAAGCAGGAACAGCTGTGCCTGCCCTGGGGGAGGTGGGCCGTGGGGGCAGGCTGGCCACTGCCTGCCAGGGGCAGGAGGCACAGGGTCCCCTACAGAGCCAGCTGAGGTAGGGTGGGGTGGGAGTCGGTTCTGCCAAGGCTGGACCACAGGACTGGGCTCCCAGGCTACACAGTCCCACAGCCTTGTCCCTGCCCCGATCCCGCAGGCTTCCTGGCTTCTCTTCCTGCAGCCCCGGGCTGCAAGGGGCTGAGGCCTGCCTCTCCTGCCCTTCCGCCCACTTCCTGATCGCTCCAGGCTGGGTGTGTTATGTGTGGGGGTGCAACATGGGGGATGACCAGGTCAGTCCTCTCCAGGGAGAGGTTCCCTGGGGCCTTTTCCTCCACTGGGGGCTGCTGCTGAGGGAATAGTACCCTGGATTTCTGGGCATGCAGCCGGGACCTCCCTTACAGGAAGGGTCTGAGTATGTTCTCTCTGTAGAACCCAAGCCCGCCACCCGGCACGGGCCAGAGGCCTGGGGGTTGGGGTGGTATTCGAGGAGGGCCTCCATGGACTGAGAGGAACATATCTTGTGCACACAGGTCCTGCCTGCTGCCACCTGCCCCAGCCTTGTCAGCGGCACTGTCCCACTAAGGCCTCTGTGTCGAGGACAGAGGGGAAGCTGTACAGGGGCCCGATTTACTGAGCACCCCTCCCAAGTGTTCTGGGTCTCCTGGCGTGGGGGTCATCAGCTGTGTATGGGGAGGAAGACTGGGAGGCTCAGCTAGACATCAGACCCCCAAACTGTGGGCCCTAAACTGCAGAGCCAATCCCCCTGGGATCCCTGCCCCTGCCAGCAAGGGTGGGGGTGGGGGCCAAGGGCCAGCTTGGAAGGCGTAGCCCCTGCTGAGACCCAGCGGGTATACAGGGCAGGTGTCGGGGTAGAAAAGGGTGGGGAGAAATCTGAGGAGCCCTCAGAAAGAGGGAGGTTGAGAAAGACCCCCCAGAAGGGAGGCCCTGTCCCAACACCACGGCCCTGGCAGAGTGGGCTCCAGGGAGATCAGTACCCTCTTCTCCTCCCCTAACACCTGGTGGGGGTTCTTGGCAGAGGAGAGGCCAGCCCTGCCTGCCCTGAGGACCTGAGGACCCAACCATGTCTCAACGTGGTCTAGACTTTGGGGATCTCCAGGAAGGGCCGTTAGCAATGAGAAAACTTGGTGGTTTCTTCTTGGAGGGTGAGCAGAGGCATCAGGCTTGGGTGGGACCACTCGAATGTCCTTCCTCAACAATGCCATCTATCCGGCCCAAATCCGACATCGTCCAGCAAAGCAGTGGTGGTGTCTGGCAGCGACTTCGGAGGTCATTCCCTGGTGACATCTCGGCGTGCTGTGTTCTCACTGATGCAAACCACACTCATCACTTGGCTTCAGAACAGCTTAAGCAAGCGAACAGAGACTAGGAGAGAGATGGAAACTGTCCGAGCAGGTGGGCCGGGGCGGCTTAGGATCGGTAGTCCTTTTTGCTGTAGGGTTTATTGCCCAAAATACTATCGATCTCATGGATGATGGAAGATGACAGTTTCGGAAGAACCTGTGTGCAGGGACAAGAGCTCATCAGGATTCTACTCCCAGGATGGGCCTGGCCACGGGGGAGATGGGGTGACATCCCACACATGTCCTTACCCCTCCTCAGCTAAGGCAGCTGGAGGCCACTCTACTTTTATGTCCTAGAGAGGAAGCGTGTCGGGGTCTATACTGTCCCTCTCAAACTCTAGGGTGCACCTGAACCTTCCAGAAGGGTGGTGGTGACGTCAGCAGTGGGATAAAATGCAGGGTGCAGGGCCCGAACGGCCGACTTCCATGCTCCCGATGACTCTCTCCTGCCAGACAGCAGCACCGCCCTTCCACTGATGGAGCCGGGGCTTCCTTGGCCTCTGCCTGCTCTCACCCTCCTTGTCCAGTCTGTCAGTCTCACTGGCTCCCCCTCCCACACATCCATCCGCTGCTCCATCCACCTCTCCCCCGGGCCCTGCCGTTACTTCCCGCCAGGTCTCTGCTTTGACTTTTGCTTCCCAAGTGAGCAGCCAGAAAAAAACAATCCTTTCGGGACCAGCAGTTGGCATAATGGCCATGTCGCTGGACTCCCATATAGTTGACCACAGTCTGAGTCCCGGACCTGGTGGCTTAAACTCATGCCAGGTGCGTGTACGTGCATACCCAAGATCCTGAGAGGAGAATGGACGAGAAGGGATTGCAGTGTGGCCATCCCCCTAGGGGGTGATTTCTCGCTTTCTGTCTCTCTCTGTCTTTCTGGCGAGTACACGCACCCTATAACAAAAACCTCTCCCAAAAAAAGACACTGTGGAAAGACTTAGAGACAAAGCCTGGGGTGCAGCATAGGGTATGTGGCTGGAGCTATGCCTGCCCTGATTAGGAAAATGAGAGAACAGGAGAACGCATTAGAAAGGGTTGTAACTAGTGAATACAGTCCAAGACAGAAAGAGGAGCAACTGACAGAGGGAGCTGGGTTCATTAAGCAGAGCCCAGAATCCTGCTGCCATCCCAGGTCTAAGCCGTGGAAACAGTTATTCAAACCGAACTCAACCAGAGCAGACACTTTTTTTACTATCTGTAATCTATATGTACATGTGTACATATATGTACACATACATATATACACACATGTGCACTTATACATGCACATATGCATACATTCAAATATAATATAATTACCCCCAAACATAACTAGAACATGAGTGTAATATAAATCCATACATACAATATTTCTAGCACCTCCATCATTTTTATTTCCATACCTCTCTTTATCATCTTGGTTATTTCCCAGATTATATTCATTCAGATTGTTTTCCTTTCAGTTTTTATTGGTTTCTATAGAAACCTCTCAAATTTACCTGCTTCATTATAGTAGTTGGAATTGATAGAGCTAAGTGGAGAACACATTCGTTTTTTTCACCTACTTCCTTTACAAACCTGTTCTCTCAAGTAGCTTTTCCTGCCTCTGGATGAAGTCTTTGGTAAACCCCAGATCGGTGCTACTCCTTTTTTTTGGGAAAGATTTTTGCTATAAAAAAAAAGAAAAAAGAAAAAAAGGATCCTTTCAATCACTAAGCTGCACCAAGCCCTTCTCTGCTCAGATCCTGGCTGGCCCCAGATCCCATTTCAGCAACACCTGAATCCTTACATGCATGCCCCTATCCCCACCCCCTCTGCCTCCGGACAGTGGGCTTCATTGCTCTTCCTGGACCTTTGCAGGGGCTGTTCCTGCCGTCTGGGAAGTTCTTCCGCCAAAGCATGTGTGGGGCTCACTCCATACCTTTTCAAGCCTTTGCTAAAATGTCACTTTCTCAAAAAGCCTGCCTGACGATCCCCATTCAGCCTGGCTCTGTTGCGCCACTTCCCCCTCACAGTCTAGTTTTCTCCTGTAGTGTTTATCACCTTCCGGCTCAGTTTCTCCATTTCCCACATTCTGTCTGTCTGTCCCTGCTAGGAGGCAAAGTCTTCAAGAGCAGGGCTCCTTGGTGGTTCACGAATGTGCCCCACATGCCTGGTACTGTGTGTGGCACTTGGTGGGTGCTCAGTAAACAGGACAAAGGGCAGGCTGGGACCTGAGCTGCCCAGGGCTGGGGCCCACCAGCAGGCCCACAGGCTCACCTGTATCGCGCCAATGTTCTCCATGAGCTGGTCAGCGTTGGAAGCACCCAGGAGCACAGAGCTGACCCCCTCGTTCCTCAGGCACCAGGCTGGGAAACAAGACCCAAGATGAGGAAGACACCCCACTATAGCTTAGAGAGACCCAGCCTCTCGATCTGGAGTCTGAGGGTGCCTGGGAAGCTTGGCAGTGCTGTGTGGGGGCTTTGCCTGAGGGGGGTACTAGGAAGAAAGACCCTGATCCTGCTGTCCCCTAGTAGAGAGGTGGCCCAGGTATTCAGGGAGTCCCATCCTCTCCATGACTTTGGGAGCCCCATTACATATGGCTGGCTAATGGAGGGGGTGGCCCAAGCCCTTAAAGACTCTGACATCTGCCCAGGGATACAGGACCCAGCCTTGTCCCTTGGATCAATGCTACCTATGGCTAGCCAAGGGATAGGCAGGGAACCCCGTCTTCCTCCTCAGGGACACTGGCTCCTAGATCCCTCAGCCCCATTACCTATGGCCAGCTGGGGGAGGTGCAGCCCAGGCCCTCAGGGACCCTGCCATCTCCTCAGGGACCCCATCATCTCAGGGACACGAGCACCAGTGTCCAGAGCCCTCTTACCTATGGCCAGCTGGGGGAGGGTGCAGCCCAGGCGCTCCGCAATGGCCTGCAGCTCCTTCAGCTTGGCCTGTTGGCGCCGGCCCTCCTCACTCAGAATCTTGTCCTTCAGCCACTGGTAGCCCTGGTTGAAATGGGGTGGGAAGGGTGGCATAGTCAAGGTGAGGGAAGGTCACCTGGTTGGCTGCTGCTTTGTGTTCCTTTCAGACCTTTCTCCCTAAATAGCAGCTCTTGACTTAAAGTCAGAGCAGTGTCCCCCATGCCAGGCTTATAGGTGTGATGGGCCACTTGGGCAGGTAGGAGAATGGGACCTGTCCATTCTCAGGGCACAGTCAATGCAGAGCGGAGTGGACCCCTGGGCCAGGATAAGGGAAGCCTAGTGGCCTGGGGCCCTGGAGCTCTCTCTCCAGCCTAAGGGGACTGTCACCTTCCCAAATGCCCCTCAGGACCACACCACCTCCTGGAGGGCTCCCTGCTCCTGCTGCAGTTTGGGGAGGAGAAGGTGGGACCCAGGACAAGGGCTGCAGTGCTGGATCTGCCCTAGGTGAGATCTTTCTCTGTCTTCTTCTCATTCCCCAAACCCTGCAGACAGGGAATCCTCCAGAGTCCACACCCTGGAGGTGTGTATGGGGGTAGGAAGATGCTGGTCTCAGGGGTCACCTCTGAGTGGCTCTGCAGCCCCTAGACCTGAGCTCAGTGGCAGAGGTCCCAACGATGGTCACAGAGGGTGGGTAGAGGCAGGGCTGTGTGAAGGGACCTCATGCCTTGCAGCATGTCCCATGGGGCAGGCAGCCACTCTAGACATGTGGTCAGGCCAGAAGGGGCTCCATTTGCATCTTGTGGCACAGAACCTGCTCCCTAGTGGGCAGTGGCTGTGGCAGCTGTGGTCCAGGAAAGCCCCACCCTGCACTGAGACAGTCTGCCCAGAGGTCCCACCCATGCCAGATGCCTGCCCCTGCCTGTCCCCTCCCCATTCAGCTGCCCCGTCACCTTTAAGGAAGCTCTTGAGTAGGGTGGGATGCCACTGTCATATTTTCCAGAAACGATGCCACAGGCCAGAGGAGACCAGGTCATGGCGCCCACTCCTGAGAGGAAGACCAGGCAGAGTCAGACCAGGCAGAGTCAGGCCTGCCCTGAGCAGGTGTGATGGGGTGGGCAGGGAGGAATGGGCACCCACCTATCTTGTGGAACAGCTCCGGCAGCTGCACCTCCACCTTCTCGCGCTGAAACATGTGGTACTCAGCCTGCTCGCAGATGGGCGGGATCAGGTTGAACTGCCGGGCTACCGAGTAGGCCTCCTGTGGGTACAAGAAAGACCCAGAGGGCCCTGCTGGCCAGCGGGCATGGGGGCGGCCAGGGGCAGCGGGGAGAGGTCCCAAAGGCATTCTGGGCAGTGGTGGTCTAGCCTATCCCCCATGCCCCAACAGTTTTCCTGGGATCTTATGAGGCTTCATGAGCCTGGGAAAGGGAGGTCAGGGGATCCCTAAGGCTGAATGGTCTCAGAAAAGCACAGGCAGGAGTGAGGCTGGTGTCCTTGAGCAAGGGGCTCATTCTTCTGTCTCCGTTTCTCCGTCTGCCAAGAGGGTTAAATCAACCAAGGGTGTTTGTGGCCCTCACTGGATGCCTGTAGCTGTGTGAGCTATCATGATGGCTGTCCTGGAGACCTGGCCCTGGGGTGATGGCAGTGGCAGCAGACACGAGGTTGAGAGGGAGAGGGACCTGCATCTGCCCATTTCTGGGGCCTGGTGCCAAGGCCTCAGCACTGCGCCTCCTGCCCCACTCCCAGCAGGCGTGTGTGGGTCAGGGCTGATGCTTCCAGACAGACTTGAGGGAAGCCCGGTCTGTGGCCCTGGCTGGCCCCTGCCCTTTCAGTATGAGACTCAGGTTCATCCTCTGTGAAATGGGGATAATGATGCTGACGCCACACCTCTTGAGCTCAGTACTACCTCCAGCCGACTTCCGAAAAATGCCAAGAAATGCTCATTAATGCCACAAGTGCCAAAGGCTGGCCAATACCAAGAGCTTCTATAATTGTGTTGACCTGAAAATGAAAACCCTGCTGAATTCCTTTAATAAGGCAGAAATCTGGGAGAAAGAGGAGAAACCACTTCCCAGGGATACTGGGATGCTAGGAACCCTGGGAAGGGCTGAGGCTAGGGCAGGGGGGACGGAGTTGGAGTGGTGGTCATCTTAGGGAAGGTGCAGCCCCTAGGCCTCTGTCCTCACTCCCTGGGTATGCTCAGCAGCCTCTCCCTCTCAGGGATCTCCCCACCCAGCCTATGAGGACAGGGCACCCTGCTGGCCCTTCCGGGAGGCCTAGACGTATCAAGAAGGATCTACAGTCTCAGACTCTGGTGTCTCCTATGGAGGGAATGAATGATATGCTTTTCTGAAAATATGGGCAAGAGGAAAACATCATGAATTATAATGTGGAGGCCCAGAGCCCTAACAGCTAGGTCACTTTGGGAGGCAGCTTGGACTCTGAAGTGTACAACCTGGGTGTCAATCTCAGCTTGAGCTGTGTGACCTTGGGCATGTAACTTAACCTCTCCATGCCTCAATTTCCACATTTGAAAACAGGGTGACAGCAATACTTACCTCATAGGGCATTGTGAAGATTAAATGGGAGGTAGTTCCCCAAGAAGCCCTTAAATCTCACAGCCTGGAACACTGTAAGAGCCCAACACAAGTGGCTCATGGTGCATCATTGAGGGTCTAATGGGCTCTAGGACCTCAGCTAAGAGCTTCTGCCGGGTTCTCACAGAGAATTTCAGAACTGCTTCACGAGGGAGGTCATGCTGGCAGGTTTGTTCCACAGGTGGAGAGACAGACTCAGAGAGGGTAAGCTATCTGTCCAGGCCACTCAGTGCTGGGAGTCGAGCCAAGACCCTCTGTACAAGGTCTGCAGACATAGCCCCCTCACTCCAGGACTGTCCCTCCCCTTGTGCCCAGGACCAAAGGCACAGAATGTGCCAGAGCCTCATGACCTTTCTACAGAGCCCACGCCCATGGACGCACACGCCACGCAGTCATCGTACCATGATCTCCATGGAGCTCCAGCGTGACGTGCCCCAATACATGGCCATCCCTTGGTTGATGACGTGGGTCATGGCACGAACTGTCTCTGTCATGAAAGAAGGAGAAATCACAGATTGGGGGTGGCTGGGGGGCATGGGCTCCAGCCTGGGGACATTCTGCAGAGACAGGCGGGGTGCCGGGAGGGGGGCTGCGAAGTTGTCTTGCAAGCAGTGTACTTTCTGGCTCCGAGGTTGGGTGTGGGAGAGGCTTTCAGAGATGAAAGAAAAAAGTGAACTGCAATCCAGAAAGTTGGTCTTGCAAACAGTTTCCCCAAATAGGTTCAGGATCTAGGGAATCTTTGTAAAAAATGGGTTATAAGTGGTCTGTGATGTTTCTATGTCAGATTAGAGGGAGGTGGAAATGGTGAGATCAAAGAATGTGATTCTAGATTCTAGAATGGGAGTGGGAGGTAGTTCTCCAGTCTGGAGAGAAATCAGGGACCCTGATCACTCAGGAAGGACCAGATGAGCAGCTTAAGGTTACACTCAGATCGGCAAAAGGCAAGAGGAAATAGACACATCCTTGCCTGTTTCTAGGCGACTTTGGCTATTCAAATTCTTACTGGGATCTAAAGAACTGAGTGGAGAGGGAATGATGGCATCTGCAGAGACCGAGGGTGGGGCCCCAGTGAGGTGGGGGTGGGGCTTCAGGGTTGAGCTGCTCTGGTGCCCAGGACAGCCAGGAGCAGACATGGGCAAAAGTCCTAGATTCTCAGACCAGACCAGCACCAGGCTGGAGTCTCCCACCCGGCAGGAGAGGTTCTGGGACAATGCAGGTCTGGGCTTCCCTCTTAGAGGGGGCCAAGGCTCCCTGAGGTCTGGGAACAATGAAGTCTTAGACAGCTGAGACTAACTCCTGAGGACTAAATTGTTCAAACTCTAGGCATCCTTTTAAATAAGGGAGAAGGGGCCCGTCCCCAATTATACAAGAGAGTCAGACTTTCCAGTATTCAAAAAGTTTTTGAGACCTAAAATTTTGCCACTTATAGTCCCGCCCAAGCTGTCTCAGCCTCAAGGGGATGTTGTGGTTTTAAAAACAACTTGGCCTCAGATTTTGACGGTTCAGACGTCTCCTTGTTCCATGGGGGTGAGGGACCGCTTCATCGGAGTTCTCCCAGGCCTCATACAGTGCTTGCAAGGTGGACTGCCAATGGCAGTGTAGGAGTAAAGTGGAAGGACAAGTGTTTCTAAAAATGAAGCAATAACAATTGGCCCTTGAAATCCCCATCTCTCCCTGAGTGGCTTGCTCCTCACTTGCCACTGAGATGAGGAGGCCGAGGCCCCTGGAAATGGCTGGGTGTGGGAGAGACAGGAAGGAGGGAGGAACGCTGAGTTTGTTCTAAAAGCCCCACCTTGCAGCGGCAGCAAGCTCACAGGCACCTGCTGGCTTCCTGACCCTTTCTGTTTCAGGGTATCATTTCCTACACATCTTGGACCTCCCTGTGGCTGAGGTCCACTCTGGGCAGGACCCAGGACATTCTAAGGGCTGGAACTGAAGTAGCTGGGTGGGGAGGTGGTCTTGGCAGGTTCACTTGGGCCCCTGGAAAATCACACCTTGGCTCCTTCTCCTGCAGGTTCAGCCCAGCCCTTTGCTTCCGTCCAAGGTCAGGGACTGTGGCTTCAGGAATCCTCTCTGGGGGATATGGCAGGGAAGTCTGCACTTGTCTGAGATCCGCCCTCCAGCCCTTCGGTCACCTGCTGTAACTGCCACCACCCTTAGGCTTTGAAAAGGAGGACAGTGGCAGGTTGGAAAGGTTCGAGGAGAAGACAGAGGGTCTTAGGAGGACACTGACCACGCCCAGCCCCAAGCCTGGGCTCCTGGCTCAGCTGTCCTTGGAAAGTTTTTAGAAACACTCTTGGAGGTACCTGTGACCATGCAGCAGAACTTCCCAATTCTTTTCAGCCAAGGCTCAGGTCCACATGCCAGAGAGAGGGAAGCCAAAGGACCCCCAATGCCAGCCTCTCGCCCTCACTCTCCCTCCCCCTAGCTCTCTCCCATCACAAAGATCTCAACCAGTGGAATGGCACAATGCCCTGCAAGGCCCCTTCCATGCAGAGACAGAGAGACAGAGTCCACCGGGCACCTAGGGGACAAGGCTAGTGGGGCAAGAGCTTGCAAGAGCCTCTGGTGGTCCTGTGAGGGAGGCGTCCCAGGCAGAGGACCCTGGACTCCGTGGAAGACCCTAGGCAGAGGCAGGCTGGATGTGGATCCCATACATGGGAGCACAGGCACCTGCACTTCTGCCTAAGTCTGATGTCAGTGGCCCCAGAAACAGGGACAATCAAGGAGGCTGTCCTTCACCTCAATATTTAATACTGCTGAGCAGAAACGGAGGGTCAAGTTGTGCCAGCTGCTACTGGTCAGCTATGGCGGCTCCTGGAGGGTCACAAATAATACATGGGGGGGTCGGGTGGCAGCATCAGGTGGCAGGCAGGAGCCCTGGCATTGTGGAACACAGCCCCATTCCCAGGGAGACCATGGCCCAAGGCTGCCCCTGGGCTCAGAATTCACAGCTCAGGTGGGTAGATGTTCTTCAAGGACAATGACTCCAATTCGGGGGAGAGGTCTGATCTCATGGTGTGAAGGCAGGTGGCCCCCCTGCTGGGGGGACACAAGGAGCACACACAGCAAGGAACCGGAATGCTGCAGACGAGGTGGCTGTCGGCTGGTGTTCTTTGCCTCCACTGGAGGCAGGTGCTGAGCAAACACAAACTATGGAGGAGATAGGGCTGGGTGGGGCAGCACATTCCGGGGTCCCTGATGGGTTCACTCCTTGTGGAAACTTGGTCTCCCCAACTCTCCCCATCATACCATCCAGGGTCAAGGTTTTAGGCAAGGATCACGGCATCCTCAAATCAAGAGGAGGCTCCGGCAGAAAGCCAGCTGGCCACCCAGATGGCAGCAATGCAAGCCGGGAGCGGGCTGGAGCGGGGCTCATGCATAGGAGGCGGGATGGAATGACAGCGTGGATCGCGGAGCAGGGCACGAGAGGCTGCAACACCGCTTTGCTTTTCCTTCACTTGCAAGATGTTCTTGGAGAGCACTATTTTTTTTTCCTTTATGCATTTTATGGAGAAGTTTGTCATGGGGGACGGGGGAGTCGTGTAAATAAAAACACTGTCTCATAAAATGCAGCTTGGACACAGAAGTCAATAATCGGGCTGAGGGTACTGTGTACCTTCTATGATGAATGTCCTTGACTTGGAGGAACTAAATGGGTCCCCTGGTGATAAAAGAAAGATTTAAAGAGACCAGAGTTTATAGCTGCGGGAACACTGAGAGGCGTGCGATGACAAAGGGCACGGGGAGGAGGCACAAATCACCTTGCGCAGAATACTCGTTTTGTAAAAAATGAAAAAGCACGCGCGCACACACACACGTGCGTGGTATATATATAAACGGATGAAGAAAAGAAATAGTTTGAACGCAACTTAATTTTCCAAGTCCCTGAAGCAGCAAAGCACAAATGAGAAGAGGCCTGAAGCAGGAAGTTGGGGGAGAGGAAGGAGTTGGGATCGCAAGGAGTCTAAAGAATAAATAAACACCAAAGAAACCAAAACCGCTTCTCAAGGCACTAAACGATTTTTCTCCTCTATGTAACGATTTTATCCCCCCGAGCAAAAGACCCCTAAAATCTCCGAGTGGAAAGTGATGGAAAAGAACACAACAGGTTCAAGGGTCTATCTTACTGAGGCGTCACTTAGCTACCGAATACTAGCGGCAGGGAGGTGAGGACACGCCATGTGGTTCTAAACGTCATACGGCATGTGGATCCTGGGGTGGATTAGGCATGGACCCAGAGCAAGGACGGGGACTCAGCCTGGAGGTCCCAGGGTGCACAGGGGTGGGGGGATGCAACCAGAGGGCGGACAGCCCTGTCCCCTCACCCGTCCCTCTTGGGGACTGGCTTCTCTGACCACCTGCCTAGGTACCCAGTGGGGTCCTGGGGTGGTGGCCATCAGAGCCTCCAGATCAGTCCCTTCGTCAGCCAGACACTGTCCTCGGGAACCCCCCCCAGGCCCGAGCAGCCAGTGCTAACAGAGCCCACCTACCTTCCATGGGTGTGTTGGGGTCTGGGCGGTTGGCAAACACCACATCCACATACTCCAACTGCAGCCGCTCCAGAGAAGCCTTCAGACCTGGGGGAGGATAGGGAGCCGTCAGTGTGCTGATGCATCTTCATGAACATTTCTGGGTCCTCCCCACACCCGGCTCAGGGAACAAGAGATGGAAGAGGGGAGGCCCTTGGCATCCAGGAGCTTTGGGATGGGGTGCAAAGTGAGTAGGGGGGCAGAGGTTGTGAACAGCCACATAAAGTGGGGGCACACCATACAGGGAGCAAGGTCCTGGCCCTTCAGGAGGGTGTGTGTGGGGACCTCCAACCAAATGTTCTGTGACTGAATGAAAGCTCCCTGGTACCCCAGCTACACCCTCCTCTGGGCTGCTCCCTGGTCTCTGGGTGGTCTGGTGCTACAGCAGGGAGAGCTGCATTTCCCCACCAGGACGGGGAGCTGCTCTGCCATCCACCACATAAAAGGCCATTAAGTAGCCATTAAGTAGCCTGAAATGCACCAGTCACCAACGGGAACTTTGAAAGAGTTCAGAACAGACAGACTGAAAGCGCTGGACCTGGCGGGTGCAGAGGTTGAGAGGGATGTGAAGTGAGGCCCCTTAGCTGTTTGGTTTTTAATGGAGTATACAAGGGGACTTCAGAAAAAGTCAGTGGAAAAGTGGAGTTAAAGTACAAATTAATTTTGGTGTAAAAGAAGAAATCCATGTGAAGTTTTCTTTTGATAACGCATTTTTCCACAAACTTTTGGGATCCCTGCATGATATTAATGAAAATAAAGAACGAGAGAGGCACCAAGACAAGGGAAGCATGGGCGAAGTCAGACGTCTTGGCCGCTCTCAGGTCTGGGGCGCTCCTGTGTGCTGAGCCCTGGGCTGTTGTCTCTATGCTCTACCTCCCGGGTTCTTCCAGGTTCCCGGCTCCCCCTGCGCAGGTGGGGTGCCTACTCTCCCATATTACAGACGCTGTGACAGAGGCGAGAGGAAGTCATGTCCCTTGCTCAAGGCCACTCAGGCAGCATGGGGCCGAGTCTGGCTGTGTCCAGCCATGGAAGGAGAGGGTCACACCAGGGTGCCGGCCCCCCTGGTCAGGTCCTCTGTTGTGTAACTGGGGGGGTGGGGGCGCTGTCCCTTCTTCACTTTTACCTTCATGGAAAGACCCACGGGCATGGGGGCCCTGCGTGCCCAAGCATCTCCTCACCTTCTATGATATGCTTCCTGGAAAGGCCCCTCTCGGTCTCCGCTCTGAAAAACAGGCCGACAGCACGTGTGATATTGCAGGCAGATTTTTGGGAAAATGTTTATGATGCAATGTTAACAAAAAAGTAGGTCAGCAAGCGCCGTGTGCAGCCTGACTCCACTTTGGGGTAAAAGCATGAGGCTAACAGGGTTGAGCTCCCACAGGCCCAGATGGAAGCTGGAAAGCTGTTTCCAAGGGCTGCCTGGGGGAGAAGGGGGGCTTTTGGTTTTCAGTATTACCCTCTGTTTAGCTTGGATTTGTTCTTAAATTAGGAGCGAATCATATTTATAATTCCTATGAGACCAAATTTATCCAGCCCTGGAGAGATTACGGAGCTGGGCATCTGGGGACCTGCAGGGCGATTGGTGACCCAGGGAATTTGGGGTGGTTTGCGTAGTTTACGAAGTTTCGGCAGTTTCCAGAATTGTTATGACATTATCTTTGTCATCATCAAAAAAAAAGATCGACAATAACAAAAACCAAACCCAAGTAAGTAAAAATCAAAATTAAATAAGATTTGGGTAAAAGAAAAACTTAGCCAAAGCTGCTTTTCTGGATTTGACATCCCTTAGCAGGGCCAGGCACTGGTCATGGCAGGCGGCCACACAAATGCCAGTTCTGTCCCTGTGTCCCGTACTGGGGGACAAGAAACTGCACTGGGCTCGGGTTTTGTCTGGTCTCCCTTCTCAGGAATGACTGCCCCACCACCCCACTCTCAGGAGCCTCCCACGTCAGAGGTCTCTGTTAAATACAGGACTGTGGCTGCCTGACCAGCTGGGCAGGCCGTCACCCCGCTGCACCTACTTTCCACCCCAGAAGATCTTGGTGGTGATGACGAGGCTGGATCGTCTGCAGAACAGAACAGAAGGAGAGGGCGTTAGTGGGCCCAGCCCCTCCAGGGCCCTCTCTAACTCCCGGTGTCCTCGGCTCTCACATAGGAGTCCTCGAAGCTTTTTATTTGGGAGCCCGGAGCAGGGAACAGGCACCTTTCCATCATTTCCTGCCAGCCCAATCCATCAGGCCCACACTGAGCCAGGAGGCAGTCCACTCATGGAATTAACTGTCCACGTCAATGTGAGTTGGGCAGAGGGGCGGATGGTGGTAGGGCCCAGTGTGACCAGAGCCCAGAGGAGGATACACGTCAGCATCAGACGTGGGAGGAGGAGCCGTGGCTCAGGGAATAAGGCCCATGTAGATTTGGTCAGGGAAGAAGGACCCACAGGAGGTGAGAGTGGGGTTGGTGGGCAGATGGAAGGGCTGCTGTGGGGATTTGGCAGAAGCCAAGGGTGTCGGGGAAGGAATTCAGTTCTCATGCTTTAGGTCTCCAGGAGGCAAAGGCTCACAGTAGTGGCTGTGTCCTGGCTGCGTTTGGTCCTGACCCCCTTCCCAAGAGAGGAAATAGCTTCCTTATCCTAGGGTGACAATGACCTTCTGTCCCCCATGGCTGTGCTTCCTCTCCCACCCAGGCCAGGGGCTGCTGAGGGCAGCAGCTCCTCAAAGTCAGATGCAATGTTCTCCTCTGCCTTTGGAAGCACCCCTTCCAGGCCAGAGGAGTGACCTGGCATGCCCCTCGGTGTGCAGGCCCCTGTGGCATAGTCAGGGCATTTGCTAATGCAAGCAGTTCTCTTTAATTACCAAGTGAGGGGATCAAGTAGAGCCAGCAAAAAAACAACTTTGAAGGGACAAGAGGAGGGGTGTCAGGGTCTACGTTGGGTCAGGTAAGGGCTGCCTGATAAATGGCACTGAGATTCTGAGTGGCACCGGCGTGGGGACAGGAGGCCTAGCTTAGTAGCTGCTTCGGATATTTGTGAAAACAAAGATGCCGGGGCCCCAGGACTGTGGCCATTGCGGTCCTGGGCTTGGGAGCCCCCAAAGTGCGGGCAAGTGTCAGCTCACTCTATCCCAAGGAGCTGGGGGCCTCTGCCTGAGGAGGGTCTCTCAGGGTCTAGGGGATTAGGGTGGATGGGGCTCCTGACCTGCTGTCTTTGGGCTCAATCACCTCCAGGGGGAGCCAGCCCCAAGGAACACAACACAGCTGGGGTTTGTACTGCAGAGCAGCCACTCCCAGGTGAATAGGATGGCCCAGCCCTGGGCTGGGTGGGCAATTTATAGGCACAGGCACCCCCATGCTCTCAGCTTGACCCCCCGGGATGGCCCTGCTGGGAAAGTCTGACACGCATCCCTTTATAGGTGCGACTCCATGAAGGTTGAGACACACACTGAGGTCCTGTGGACGGGTCAGGATCCATCCCTGGTCCACCTGGCTCTTTGAGAAACTCCCCTCTCTGGCACCCTGGCTCCTTTGGCCATCCCCGTTCCAGCTAAAGAGGCAGAAAGACTTTGCACCCCGACCTCTGCAGCAGCACCCCTCATCCTACCTAGGTCATTCAGCTCTTTTTGGTCATAGACTTAGCAACCTAGGGCCCTCAGTCTCAGAATCCCTGTGCTGAGGTGGGACAAAGGTGGAAGGGGCAGAGGTGGGGCAGGGCGGACAGCATGGCTGGCCTCCACCCGACTTCTTTCTCAAATAGAGCTGCCTCTTTGCCAGGGAGAAGGAAATTCTGCCCCCCATTGGTGACCCAGTGGAAGCTTTTCCAACTCACCAAAGCCCAGGTACCCTGGCCCTTTGGGGGCAGCTACCCCCAGCATGAATGTTTGCATTCCTGGAGGAAGCATGGGCTGCCTTCTTTCTTTTCTTGAAAATTCTCCCCTTCCCAGCAAGAAACATTTTGGGACTTCCATGAACTCCCCCTGCTGCCCAGTGGCCTATCCATCCCACTCAGGAGCCCTAAGTGCATCTGCCTCTCCCAGGGCATCCCCTTTCCCCACCTTTCCCTGGGGACAGGCGGCAGAACAATTACCTCCAGCCCTTCTTCTTAATGATGTTTCCTAATACCACTTCAGCCCTGGAAAATGAGAGAGAGACGTGGCATTTCATTACAGCATAAAAGACAAATCAACCCAGCCCCACCCTGGCCATCAGTCACTTAGTTCCCTCTGTGAAAATACCACTGGGGTCGGAGAGCCAGGCCATGAACGCCTGCCTCGGCTCAGCGGTTCATTCCAGGGAGGGGTGAGGCTGGGGATTGCTGGAGCAGGCTGAGAGTGGTCATGTTACTGTCCCCACTATGGTGGCCAGGGGCAAGTGCCCGGCAGGCTCTCATCTGAACAGCAGTGGCTCCAGCTCTCACAGAGAGTGAAAGAGCTGACGCCCACTTGACAAGGCCTGTGCCCTGTTTCCCTGGCCGGCTTGAACATGCACTGGGGAAAATGCCTGGAAACTTTGTGTGGGCAAAATTTATAGACAATCATTTTTTTGTTTTGTTTTTAATTTGCTAGAGGGTGTGTGGGCTTGCCTGAGAGAGAAAGGGAGTAAGAGGGAAAATGAGAAAGCACCCTCTACAGCGGATGGCCATGCTGCAATTCTTTCTCTTCCATCTCTCTTTCCAGGATTTGGGGCATGGACACACAGGTGCCTGGTGTGTTTTTCAAGCTACTGCATCCAGGACTTGAACTCTGCAGTCGGCCATGTAGGATCTAGCTGCTTCAACTACCACACCACTGGCTAGCCCTGTAATTTTTTTTTTAAAGATAAACTATTTATCAGCTGCATCCTGTGTTTTCAGAGATAACACCATATTCAGGGTTAGGGGCTAAATTTGTAGCAGAGCACGTGTGTGCACACACATGTGTGTAGGCATGTATTCACACCCATGTGTGCACGTGTGTGTGCATCCCTCTTATTTCTTGCTTTTGAACAGCAGAGAGACAGATGCCATTGTCTGTTCTGCTTGGCGTCACTCTGGGTCCTGCACCAGACTCGGGCCAGCCAGGGTCAGGGGCAGGCTGTTCCAGCCTCACTTGGCAGACAGCGCTGGATTAACTTTTAAGAACTTTCTGCTTGTAGCAAAATGTTTCTGAGCAAAAACAACAGACGGAGAATGATCCATTCCCAGCGCTACATTCCAATTATAAAAGCGCCTGAGTCATCCGCTCAGAAATAATGGGCTCTAATTTGCAAGCTGTTTAGCATACATTCTGAATGCTCCTCATTTATGGTCAAGATGCAAAGTAATTCACTCAGCCCTGGGCCTCCTCCTTTCATTTCTTGGTCCCTGATTTGTTGGACAAAGGATCAGGGAAGGAGGAGCAGTGGTCCTGGGGCCACCAAAACCTGTTGGCCCTGGCTGTTAATTTGTTGAGACCTGCATCTGTCCAGAGGGGCATAGAAACCCTGCAGTACTCTGGCGAGTGTGCAAATTAATCTCAGCATGATAAGCAAGACACATGCTTGGCCATCCTGGGCAGGAAGGGGGGCTGCCTGGGGCTCGCCACCTGCTGGGGCTGCTTCTTGGCCCCTTCTTCAGAACAGTTCTCTTCCTGCCTGTCCCTGGTGCACCGTGTGGAGCAGGCACTGATGTGGGGCGAGCACACAGGTCTTCAGCCCTGGCTGGGCTGGAGAGGTGCTGCTGTGGCAGAGGGAAGGAGGGCAGGGGCTTCAGGGGCAACAGCGCCCCTGAGGAAGCTGCCCCTCCCAAGTCCTCAACTTTCTAGCGAGACCCCTGAGGCTGCCCAGGAACTGTCCAGCTAAAGGGGGTGACTGTAGGCAGTGACGCAGAGCAGCGTGGCTGCCGTGAATTGGCATATGTCGGCCCGGTATTCAGGGGCTGGGCCATCTGGAGCTGGGCAGGTGGGGGCTGTAGGGAGCTGCCTCCTGCACACTCTTGTGGGCAGCCAAACCCAGGCAGGTACAGGCCAGGGATGAGGCTGGGGGGCTTGAGACAGGTAATGCTTCTGGACTTGGTATCTGTCTGGGGTTTTTCAACTTCTGGCTCAGCTCATTGGTCTGGGAAGCATTTTGTTTTGATGGGAAGCTGCTGCCAGCTTGCACTGGGTGGCAGGGGGCTGTGGCATCAGGAGGGGCAGAAGGATTACTGATAGGGTCTGGAGAAGGCTTGGGCATCCCAGCAGAGGCCCCTGAGCTTTCCAGGCCATGGGTCATGATGTCTGGTGCTTGGGGCCTCATTGCAGGCTGCAGGAAACAGCCCAGAACTCCACGAGGCAGGTGCTGGCCCCGCAGCCATGGTGCACAGCAGGCCAGAGCTACAGCCAGCCCTGCTGACGGCAACTTGGCTCTCCTGAGGCAGGAGGGGGCCAGACAAAGGATGAAGAGAAAGCCAACAAATGATTTCACAAACAAAAGCTGACTTTTGGAAACCCGATGCAGGAGAGTGGATGATTTGATTACAGCCAGTCTTTAAAATAGAAGCCAATAGCCCTGGCTGAAGAGGGCTAAGCTTTTACATAATTGAGTAGAAATGTTTCCTGCCAAGATGGGAAGGCCGCTACAGCACTTGGGGTCAGAGTCCACTCTCTTCCTGCAACCCTGCAGCCCTAACCACCCCTGAAGACATGAACATGTCAGCCTCGAGGGGCTGGCCACGGGTTACTGGCATGTCAAGGGAGCCCAAGACAACAGCTTAACCATGGCTCTTGTCCAGCACAGCATCTCTGGCACCAGAGGGACTGTGGTCATCCCAGTGTTTGGGAACGCAGGAAATTTAGCAAGTGGCCAGTGTCCAACATTCTGCCATTCTGGCCCCATGAAAGTGATACATTGTAAAGCCATGTAGAGCTTAAAAAAGACAGCCGAGTGGAAGGAACACTCTTAGCAATGAATGTGCAGCCACACAAGGCCTCCGGCCCTTCCCAGGCGTTCTGCACCACTTTTATCCCACAAGAAAAAGACACGTACTTGCCAGCTGCATAGACTTCTGCAGTGTCGAAGAGGTTGATGCCATTGTCATAGGCCAAGGTCATTAACTGCTCTGCCATCTGAAACGAGAAAACAGGAGCTGTTCGTGGCCAGCACTATCTTGCCCAGCCAGGGGGTGGCTTAGAGGTGCTATAGCACCACCCTCACGGCCGGGGAGGCCTCCTCCATGCCCAGACCCTATCAGTAACCCTTCTGCCCCTCCTGATGCCCAGGGCCTGGATAGGCTACTCTTCCTGTGTCCTCTCCTGCCATGGACAGGAACAGAGGCAGGCTCTCAGTCACATACTCATTGAGAAGGACAAGGAAAAATGAACAGACAGCTTTTGAACCGTGAATTTCTCGAGAGCAGGGACTCCATCTGTTGGAGTCGTCACAGGGCTTAGCACCTGTAGCAGGTTTAATAGTGTCCTCCAAATTCTTGTCCAGCCAGAACCTCTGCACATGACCTTAGCTGGAAATAGAATCTTTGCAAGTGTAATTAGCTCAGATGAAGTAATGCTGCATAGGGAGTGTGTGACCGGTGCCCTGACAGGGAGACAGACAGAGGAGTCCATGCGACAGGGGAGGCGGAGACCGGAGTGATGCACGCACAGGCCAAGGAAGGCCCAGGGTTGCTGGAGCCACCAGAAGCTGGGAGAGAGGCCTGGGAGGGGTCCTCCCTCAGAGACTTTGGAAGGAACATAGCGCACTGACCCTCTAATTACAGATTCCAGTGAAAGAATAAACTTTATTTAAAAAATTTTTTTTTTTTTTAGGTTTTTGCCATAGGATGCATGTGCTCGCTGGAGAGAGAGAAAGAGACAAGAGAAATGAGAATTCACTCCCCAGGGGGATGGCCATACCACAATCCCTTTTCCTCCTGTATTCTTCTCCTGGGGTTTTGGACACATTTGCAAACAAGCCTAGAGTGATTTTCAAGACACGTGTCCAGGACTCAGTCACAGTTGGCCATGAGGGAATCCAGTGCCTTAACCACCACACCACCTGCTGGCCCCAAATGTCGGTTTTAAAAAAAATTGGAATTATTTTATTTAACTCTTATTTATTTATTTAAATTTGACAGAGTATGTATATGAAAGAGGGAACATGAGAAAGTAAGCTGCCAGGTCTGAGGCTCAAACCACCGTTGGCCATGTGCAAGTCCAGAGCCCTTAACCACCATGCCACCTGCTGGCTCCCCAAATGTCTGTTGTTTTAAGCAATTCCAGTTGTGGTATTTTGTTATGGCAGTCCTAGGAAATGAATATAGCTCTACAGACCTTAGTAGAAGAAATATCTTTCTAAAGCTCTGGCTGTGGATTCAGCTGTATCTTGCTGAATCCTTTGAACAACTGCATGAGGACTACGCTATTATTTTGTGCAGATGGAGGAACCGAACACCCCCAGCTAGTACCTGGCAGGCCGAGATCCACACTCCCTTCTATGCTGGTGTTTCTCCAGCACCACGCTCTCCAACCTCACAGGCAGGATTGACGGATGGCCACTTGATCTAAAATGCTGTTGACCAGATTTTGCTCCTTGGTTGCTGTAAGGATCAGCAAGGATCGACTGGCAGTGGGGCCCAGAGTTAAGGAGCCAGGGAGCCCACCTGCAGCTCCCAGCCTCCTTCAAGGTGCGGTGTAGGAAGCGCCTCCTGAACTGTGCTGACCAGGGTTTCTGCCTGAACTAGCTGTCTAGGGTGGGGTGGATAATTTTTAATAACCCTCAAAAATTGTAGGACAGAGACCAGCCAGGTGTAGAGAGGGAGAAAGGGGACTGGGAGGGTACCAGCTGATGGTGGTGGTGGTGGTGGGGGGGATCCATGCCCAAATCACTGCATAGGAGAAGGCAGGCTGGGCACTACCAGATCCTCTGGTCTTTCTCCTCATCTCCCCCTCCTCCTTTCTTAAAAAAAAAAATTGCTGGGACGAGCAGTTAGCGTAATGGCTATGTCGCTGGACTCCTATGTAGCTGAACACAGTTCGAGTCTGGACCCAGTGACTTAAATTCATGCCGGGCGCGTGCGCGTACATGCTCAAGATCCTGAGAGGAGAATGGAGGAGAAGAGATTGTGGCGTGGCCATCCTCCCTGGGGGTGATTTCTTGCTTTCTATCTCTCTGTGTCTCTCAGTCTTTCTGGAGAGCGCACGTACCCTATAGCAAAAACCTCTCAAAAAAAAAAATTGCTATAAGGTACACACACTCACCAGAGGGAGACAGAGAGAGAGAAAGAAGGAAAGTGAGAAAGCACTCCCCCTGGGAATGATCACACCACAATCCCTTCTCCATTCTCCTTTCAGGATTTTGAGCATTAATGCAGACGCCTGAGTGTATTTTTCAAGGCCCTGGATTGAGTACAAGAACTGTCCAAACAGCCATATGGGATCCACCGTGCCACTGGCTGGCCCTCCCTGAGTTTTCAAGAGAAACCAGAAATCCAGGATATTTTGGGGTAAGGGTGAGGAGCAAAAATCTCCTGGTTTTCAGATGTTGGTGGTGAACTGGAAAGACGTCAGGGGCTGCAGCCCACAGCCGAGCCCTGACTCATTAGCCAGAAAGCCCCCAGGTGGTGAGGCTGTGGGTTTTCCTGATCCACCTGCAGGGCTGATTTGCTGTCTCCTCTACTGTGGCTCAAGTGCACAAGTGCACCCACAGATGGAGCACACACACTGATGCCACAGTGACGCCTCACTCCCTGGGAGGCTGCTGTGCTGCTGAGCCCCCTCCTCCCCGCTGTGGATCCCCATCCTGTAGGGAGCCTTCCCCACTTCCCAAATCTTCCCCCACCTCCAGACACCTTTCTTCCCTGGTGCCAGGGCTCTGCCACACATGGTTCTCACTGGTTCACCCTTGTCTCCATCCTAACTTTTTCTAGAGGTATCCCATCAGCTAGACTGGAGTGAGGCCCAGGAGGATGCACCAGACCTGGTGGGGTGTTGTTCATGATGAGGCACATGAAGTGTCCTAGGAGGGCTTCTGAGGGGAGGTGTCTCAGATACATGTACGTGTTATCATGCCCCATCTTTCTGCATGAAGGGGTGGCATGCTACAGATATTCTTGCAGTTGCAACACATCCCAGATCAGTCCACATTAGTTCATGGACATTTCTTTCATTCCTCTTATAAAACATTTGCCAGAGGGCATGTGCATGCGTCAGAAAGAGACAGAGAGACAGAGAGAGGGAGAAGGTTAAGCTACTCCCTATGGGGCATGGTCATGTCACAAATCCTTCTCCTCCAGTTGGCCCCCTCTCTGGATTTGGGGCATGCATGCACATAAGCCTGGTGTGCATACGATACAGTGGGCCATGTGGGATCTGGCTCCCTTAATCACTAGACCACAGGGCTGGCCTTCATTCCTTTTGTTTTGATTGAAAAAAACTTTATTTATTAAAAAAATTAAAAAATTGTAAAGAAGGAGCCAGCAAGTGGTGTGGTGGTTAAGGCACTAGATTCTAACATGGCCAAGCAGAGTTCGAGTTCCAGATCTGGTGGCTTGAAAAATCATGCTGGACACGTGTGCATGTGTGCACAATATCCCAAGAGGATAATGGAGGAGAAGGGATTGTGGTGTGGCCATCCCCTGCGAGGTGATTTCTCACTTTTCCTCTCTTGGTCTCTCTCTGGTGAGCACGCTAGCCCTATGACATAAACAAAACAAAATAAAAAGTAGAAAAATAGACAGAAGGAAACTTAGCATTTTAGCCATTTTTAAGCGTACGGTTCAGTGACATCAAGGACGTTAACATTGCTGTGTAGCCATCGGCACTTTCCACCTCCAGGACCTCTATTATCTCTCTACATGGAAACTCTGACCCCATTAAACACGAACTCCCCGTTCTCCTTCCCCAGCCCCTGGCATCCACCATTCTATTTTATGTCTCTATGAATTTGACTCCCCAAGGGACTTTGTATAAGTGGGATCTTTTTGTGACCGGCTTATTGACCCAGCACAATGTGTTCAAGGTCCGCTGGTGGTGTTGACAGCGCTGGGTTTGGAAGTGTGTTTAGGAGTCTGTCAGGCAGGCAGGCAAGGGCAGAGTGGGTGAGGGAGGGGGCGTTTCAGGCAGAGGGGCTGAGGGGTGCTGAGGAGGGCAGCTGCACATCTGCTTCACCTGAGGTCCTGCCCATGCTGGGCTCAGGCTGAACACCCACAAGCCCTCCCGGACTGTCCTTTCTTTTACTCCAGCATGAAACGTCCGGCCAAAGCTGTCATCTTCCGCGCAAACTGACCCAGCATGACTGCTGTTCCCATGCTCACTGTGGCCACCGCACTCCAAGTCACCACCATCGCTCGGCTGGCATTTTGCAGTAGCCTCCTACTCCTGTCTCTGCTCTGTCCTTGCCCTGCACCCTGTCAGAGTGTGGCCCATAGGCTGGCAGCATTGGCATCAGAAACACGATCGCAGGCTCGGCACCAAACCTGCCATGGTAACTTCTGAATTTAAGCAGACCCCCAGGAGATTCGAGCACGCCTTAGAGTATGAGAAGCCCATCTGGACTGGCTACTTATTTCCAGTGTGGTAGCCAGACTGAGCCTTTTAAGATGTATGTCCTGGCTTATCCAAGTGGGCCCAATGCCCTCATAGTGCCCTAAGGGGGCGGGGAGATTTGACTCAGAAGAGAAGGGAAACTGAAACCATGCAGCTATAAGCCCAGGACGGCTGGCAGCCACCAGAACCTGAAAGGGCAGGGACGGCTCCTCCGTGGAGCCTTGTGAGGGAACACAGTTCGGACACCCTGATTTGGACTCAGTGGTACCTACTGTGGACTTCTGGCCTCCAGAGCTGTGAGAGAAGGTTTCTGTTGTGTTCGATCACCCAGCTGGTGGCAATTTGTTACAGTAGCCATAGGAGACTAATATACTCCCTATAGCACATTCAACCAGGAGAGACAACTGCTTGCTTCTTTACTGTCTGCTCCCTTGCTAGAAAGAGAGTCGCTTGGTGGTTGGCAGGTGCTTACGAGCATGAGCAAGATGGAAACTGGTGGCCCCAGACGGGCTGTTTCCAGTGTTCCTCGCTGTCCTGGCTATGCCTGGCTCTGCCCTGCCCACTCTAGGAAGGCCTTCTCCTCTTAGTGTCCACAGGCTAAGAACAAAGGGCTCAACTATCTAGACTCTAATGCATGAGGATCCCGACACACCTGGTTCCCTTCCTGGAGGAGGAAAGCCTGGCCAGTCCGCAGAAACATCCAGGCCCAGGTAGACCCTGAGAGGCCTCACCAAGAGGCAGGATCAGCAGACTCTGGGGACACCAATCCCAAGCTCACCTGGCCCTTAGCAAAAAGAATGTAGGAAACATGACACTAACCACACTCAGGATGGCACCCTGGAGAACTATAGAAGAGAAAGAGAATGAGGGAATCGGGGGGTTTTCAGGACTGTGCTTTCTTACATTTTTTTCTTTCCTGCTATGATTTGGCTGTCATCCCTCTTTTAGGTTTTTCTATGTGAACATGCTTCTTTTCCCTATAAAACTGCAACTCGGACATCCAGACTTCTGGACACACCATGCACACTACTTCGCTCTCTGTGGGTCTTCCTCATGCTAGTCTTCAAAACATACTTTTTTTTTTTTCTAAAGAAAAATTTTTGCTCTAGGGGACATATGCTTGCCAGAGAGATAGACAGAGACGGAGAGACAGAAAGTAAGAAATCACCCCCTAGAGGGGATGGCCACACCACAATCCCTTCTCCTCCATTCTCCTCTCAGGATTTTGGGCACACAAGCACACATGCCCAGTGTGTTTTAAGCCACCGGGTCTGGGACTTGAACCCTGGTTGACTACAGGGGAGTCCAGTGATGTAACCATCACGCCATCTGCTGGTCCCCAAAACATACTTCTAAAGGTGTCTGCTCTGTGGCGTGGTGTGGTTTATTTAACGGAGCCTCTATTTTTATTTTAGACCTTTGGGACTGCAGGGATGTGCTGCCATGCTGGACATTTTTTTTTTTTTTTTTGTAGGCTGGAAATTGAACCTGGGCCTCAGGGCCGAGATTCTGTTCCTATCACAACTCTGCAGCTGTTGGCACACAGCTCCTATGACCCTGTGAATAGGGGACATCAAACCTTTTCGGTAAAGGGTCAGATAATGAATACTCTAGACTTTGCAGGCCAGATGGTCTCTGTCACAACTACTCAGCCCTGCTCTGGCAATGTGAAAGCAGCCACAGCCAATGTGAAAACAATGGGTATGGCTGTGTGCCAATAAAACTTTATTTACAAAAACGGGCTGCAGTATTCAGAGAAGGAAGTAGAGCAGAGGTTGCCAGGGGCTGGGGAGGTATTGCTAAGGGTACGGAGTTTTGTTTGGGGTGATGAAAGATTTTGGAAATAGTGGTGATGATTTTACAGCAATGCGAATGGACTTAATGCCACTGAACCATACGCTTAGAAAATGGTAAAATTTATGTTTCACGTAGTTAATAAAAAATTGAAAAATTGAAAAAGAAAAACATGCAGTCCAGGATGGTCCTCACTTCCTTGCTGGCTTAGACCTAGCAGGTAGTCACATAAGCCCCTCATACTTGAAGAGGTATCGATTTATTTTTTGACACTAACAATAGGATTTAATACAAAAATTCTTCTGCTTATTCACTCAGTCATTTTCACCTGCCATAACCTTTCAGAACCCTGACTCTGTCATCTATTGCATCCTGTCCTTTCAGCTGGGTGTCATCTAGAAGACCTCTAATACCTTCATACATGTCACTATGTCCCTCAAGGAGACATGACAGAGGCTGGAGCAAGCCACCACGGGATCATGAATCAATACTGTTTTGATGGGATTGATCTTTTTGTGAAAAACTTGGATAGTGCTGGTCTGTCCACTTCTCTATGTCTTTCCCACAAGAACATCACACACCACGGAGCTAATGCTGCTGGGAATGAAGTTACACTGCAGAGTTCTTCCGCCTACAGTCTGAGTAACCAGACTGAAAAGGAAAAGAGGCAACTCAGGCATGATTTATTCAGGGCCAAACGTGTGGGCCCTGGGGCTCTGATTTTTACTCTGAGTGCTCAGAACCTATCCAGGGGGCTAAGAATGCCCTGAGATAGCCCATACCTGGCAAACCTCAAAGCACAGGGTGAATAGTTCTACAGTGAGCTACTGTCAAAAATAAAAATGAACAAACAATCAAATTAATGCTCATTTAAATTTTGATGGAAGCAAAGCTTTTCCTTTGAAAACTGAGCTAACAAGGTCTCAAATCAATTCATTTGTTAATTTTTAAATGCAACCTGTCCAATAGGAAGTAGGACAATGTAAAAACCACTTCTTGTGGAGATGCCTATAGACCTCTGAGCATAGACCATTCTTGTTTCCAGGGTGTCCCCTCCATGTCATGTCCACAAGTGCACACCAGTCTGGGAACACGTCATCTCTCTCCACCTGGGAGACCCAGAGACACAGCCACTAAGTGGTGGCAGCAGACTCGCTATCTTCTTGGCCCCTGCTACCTGGCTCACCTTTCTGCTGCCCAAGGGCACTCTTACAAAACATAAAGGAAGAGGCTGCCCTGTGGCTCTTGAGAGCACATGCTTACTGGCCCACGCAGGGGACTTAGGCATGCAGGGGTGAGCCCTTGCTGGGAGCAGGGGTGCAAAGGGAGATGCTTTTTACCTCGTCGGTGATCTGGCCTCCGAAGGTCACCCATGTTCCTGGAAGGAGACACAAAGTCTCAGTTAGTGAATCTGCCGGGAAGCCGCACTCTCCTGTGGGCACTTGGATCTCAGACCGCAGGGCCTGTGGGGCAGGGAGCAGCCATAGGCTGTCACGCTGCTCTGTAGTGAGGGTCCTTGGTGTGTGTGGACACCTGGCCTGGGTTCAGGGCAAGCCTTACTCTCTTGGGGCTACCAGCCTGAGGGTGCAAGAGTCTGCAGAGCAGGCAGCTAGCTGCCAACCCAGAAGGCATGAGGCCTGTGGGGTACTTGCTGGGGGCCATGCGGATGCACTTCCCATTCCAGGACCATGTCCATGAAAACAGCTGTGTGTGTCCTTGCCCTTGCTGGGATGGGGTGGGAAGGCTGTGCGTGTCCGGGCAATGGTGGCTTGTATCGCTGTGTAGTGGAGGACGGCGTGTTCTGGAGACAGAACTAACACCTGGCCGGAGAGGGAGAAGGGAAAACCTGACCAAGGCAAGCCCAGCCTCGTAAGGGAAGGATTCCCCCTCGGGATGCCTGGGGCCACAAGGGTCTCCAATTTTGTGACATGGAGTAGGGCTATGTGTGCCAAGGGCCCTGCACTCCCCTTGCTTTTATGCCACATCTCTGTCCCCCTCCCTTTTCCAGCCCCACCTTGCCTGCCTCTCTGTTGCCACAGTAACCATGTCCCCCTGAATCCTGAGCTGCAGTGCAGCCACCCCTGGGGGATGCCAAGGGCTGAGCCACCCTGCCTTCTGAGGTGTGACCCCTACAGCCTCTGATTCCTTGACTGGTACCAGACAGAGGGGTGCCCCCACACTCACCGAGCCCCAGGCAGGAGACCCGCAGGCCGGACTTGCCCAGGTTCCTGAAAAATAAAGGCTGTGTGAGTTCAACGCTGGGACAGGGTCCTGCCGGACAGACTGGAGTGTGCCAGTGCTGCCTGCTCCCACCCCAATCTGGGGCTCTGAAAGGCATGAAGGACCTTTGCTTGCCCATCCGGGGCAGTGTGCCTACTGCCCCCCCAGCCCACACTAAGGCCGGGTCATTGCTGGGATAAGAGGTGTTGGCGATCAGTGGTGAGGGGCAGGGCTGTCTCAGGGGTGGGTGGTAATAATGTGGAGGGACACCATCTTGTTTCACGAGCTGAAACGTGACTGATTTGGGCCTGCGGTGCTGTTCCCTGGCTGAGAAGCCTCTTCTGTCTCCTCTGGAGAGCACACGTGTGATTCCGTGTGTCTTTACTTGCTGTCTCTGAGGACAGGACTAGGAGAAGTTAGTCCCACTTCACATAGACACCCAGACTGTGGATCTGTCCCTCTGCTTCCCCAAGGCTGGCAACATGGGGGGAGTTGAGAGTTCTCATGTGAGGATGTCGGTCCCCAGGAAAGGCTAGCCCCACCCAGCCTTTGTCACTGCCACAACTAGGCCCTGGCCGCACTGTCAGAGCCTGGCACCTAGCCTAACCAGGCATGGCTGTGTGGATCCGTCATGGGCCCACCGAGGCACCTGTCCCCTGGGGCACACCCTGGAGTCACATGAACGGACCGTGCCTGTGTCCTTAACATCCCTAGACTGTCGTGGACATGCAGTCCTCCACTGTGGGAGCTGTGCGGGCAGCAGCATGCTGGGTGGTCCTTAAGCCCTGGTGGCAGGCCCTCATTTGCTGTGACATCAGGATGCCCGCATCACATAAGAGCACACAGATCTGCCCAGGGAGCAGGGATCCCACCCACGCAGTGAGTGCTAAGTCACCCGCCCCAGGAGGACACAGTGTACGATCTGCCCAGACAGTGAACTGGGCAAGTGCAGGGTGGTGTCACAGCTGTGGCTGGGCTCTGACCCATCTGTGCTGGACTCCACTCCCCTAGTCAGATCACTCTGCTGGTGTCTGGTCAGGGAGCTGGCCGCCCCTGAGACCAGCCTGGGGCATGATCCTGTTCGAGGCAATGGGGAGTCAGAGAACTGCAGAGTCACCAGTAGGTGAAGCCCACTCTTCTGCTCTGAGGGCCCCAGGATTTCCCTGGGGCTGACATACTTCTTACTTTAGTGGATGCTGTGTCTTCAGTTTATTCCTTTTCTATCCAAGCCTGGCTCATAGAGAAGGCAGCCATGAGGCTCGAGATGGATTCTGATCACTCCCTCTGTAACACAGGCATACCCTGACCTCCACGGATTTGATTTCCCTGAGTTCAAGGCCCCTGGACTTCACTATGTCACAAGTGGTCATGGCGGGTGAATAGAATCCTTAGAAGCAGTTCGAAGACAGTAGAATGTGTTACTAAATTAAAGGTGGTTCCACCCAGATTTCTTTGAACATTTCCCATTCAAATCCAGTTCAGCTGCAAGGCTATTGTTCCTATAAAGAATGCTGGAATTTTCCCTTGAATGAGAACATAAGCGCATCATCACAGCACGGCACACAGGAGGGTGGCCCTTTCCTTATACAAAAACAGCCATGGACAAATCAAGTAGCTTTAGCTATTACTGTATTAAAAAGGGAACCGAAATTTCCTCTACTTCCCCTCCCCCCCTTCTGAATTAGCGAAATAATCTAATAGTATCCTAGGCATTGCTTGCATTTTCTGACCCAGAGGAATTTGCATCTGCAGTTGCTCTTATAGAAAGAGGGCACAATGATATGGTTTATAAATTCTTCATAACCTGGTCTATCCAGTAGCTTGGATAATTCCCCCCCATGCTAGCTAGAAAGTAACTATGTGAGAAATAACAAAATTGCTTAGCAGTCAAATAATGAAGCAAAAGGACCAAAGGTTCTGGTCAGTAGTCCTCACCTGTTTTGGGGTCACAGACCCCTTTCAGAAACCGATAAAGGTTACAGATCCTCTTTGGAAATACACAGAGATGTGACTATGCTCAGAACCTCGTTTGCAACATATGGGTGTTTGCAGAGCTGCAGACCCCATTCGGTGCTTGTTCTAGATAAATCCAGGCATCTTAAGGAAGGCTGGGCCCCACTTCTGTAAACCTCCCTCTGCCAGTGACCAGGAAGAGCCATTTCTTGACCAGAACTTGTTGAAGGCCAGGTTGTAGGCATCTTTCCTAAAACTTCCCTTTCATCAGCATAGAACTACATGCTGAAATGTACCGCATGCTCAGGGGATGGGGCAGCTTTAGTGGATAGGCAAGGACACAAACAGGAAGCTGAGCCCACCTGTTATCTGCAGCTGAGAGGAAAGATACCCCTCGACTTCTAGTTTGAGCAGGACTGGCGAGAGTCACTTTTGCTCCCTAATTCATTTCTGTTCCAAGCTTTGATTGGTGTGAAATGGATCTGCTTCCCCAAATGGGCTCTGAGTTTCTTCCTGTGCCAGGGTAGGGACCCAGGCCATTTGGCTCTTCAGCTGCCCCACCGCCCACGGTAATAATTTAGCAAAACTAGGACACTGCATGATGCTGAAATTACCCTGCTCAACTTGTTTCCCCGTTAAAATGACGGTATTAGTTTTGCCATCCGCTGCCAGGCCTCGAGAGAAGGAATGAAAAGGGACAGGTACCTCCGGGCTGAAAGCTTCATAAATACAGCTGCTCAGAGGGGGTGGGGAGCACCGCAAATCACAGCCTGGTCTCCGCAGGGGCTGCTGACATGCTGCCACTCGAAACTTTCGAGCCACCAAAACCGTTACCTACATTTCTTAGTCCTAACTAAAACTCGACAGAATGATAAAATAGTTGGTCGAAATCTCTAAATCCAAATGCTGCTGGTCTTCATTAATTTGTCTCTGTGACCTAGAGAAATGGCCAATGAGGATCACAGACATAACCTGCTAGAAGGAAGCACCGACGCCAACCATGCAGCCACTGAGCATTTCGCACCCCTCAGTATTGCACCCGAGACTTGGTAAAGGGCCAGAGCTGGACGTCTCCAGGAAATCACAGATCTTTTTAAAAAGAGGAGTTTCAGAGCCTTTAGTTGTTGTTGTTTTTTTTAAAGAATTATTTATTTGATTTTTTTTGGTCATCATTATTTTAAAATTTGATACAGGTACTCACCGGGGTGGGGGGTGAGGGGAGTGAGGAAGCAAGCTGCCAGGTGAGGACTCAAACCGTGGGAATCCAGCACCTGCTGACCCCCAGGGCCTTTAGTTTTAAGCATCTGGGTAGATGGTAAGAATTTATTCAGGTGAAGGGAGAGCAGCACGGCCTTGACCAGCTGGTTTGAAGAATAAGGGAGATGGGACATCTTCCTGTCTACATCTTGCTCATCCATTATAGCATGGTGCAATGTGCACCCCAGACTCCAGGATCCCTAAGGACAGGCCTGGCTTCCATGTCTTTATCCTCTGATTGGAGCTGGCAGCAGTAGGGTGCCAAGGAGTGTACTGTGGGACGATGTTCAAATAACTGGGAGGTGAGAAGCCCAAGCCCTGGAGTCAGACCACGGTTCCTCCTTTACTCATCAGGCTGGGCCTCCCCTTTACCCATCACTGAACACCTCTGGGCCCCCTGGGAAAAGCACAACACCTGCAGCTGGTTGCATACCTTTGGTTCTCCTGACACCTGTGGGCTGGGTGGGCTTCATCAGCAGGTATGTCTGGAGATGTCCTCCTGGCCCTGGAGCACGTCACTGTGAAGGGCCAGCTTCCAAGGGAGGTGGTCGGAACCACATATGGGGATTGGGGTCAGGCCCTTCTCTCCTTTACAGCCACCCCCCCCCCCATCCCA